TCGCACTGGCGCGCACGGTCGGCTGGGTCGCCCAGTGGCGCGAGATGATCGAGGACCCGAGCCAGCGGATCAGCCGCCCGCGCCAGCTCTACAACGGCCACACCGAACGCAAGTACGTCCCCCTCGACCAGCGATAGCCTGGTCGTTCGCGGGCAAGCGGAACTGCAGAAACGAGGGCGCCTGGGGTTCTCTAGGCGCCCTTCTCCTTGTCCGCCAACAGGCTCAGCACCGCGCGGGCGGCGCAGCGGCTGGGGCTTTCGCCGGAGGCAGGTTGAAGCGCCCGGATCACTTCCAGATAGGCTTCGCGCTGGGCCAAGCGCGCGGCGGGGTCGCTCAGGAGGCGGTCGATCGGCCCGAGAATCTTCTCGGGCCTGCAGTCGCGCTGCAGAAGCTCGGGCTGCACCATGCGCCCGGCAAGAATGTTGACCAGGCTGGCATAGGGAACGTTCAGCCAGCTGAACGGCAGCAAGCCCGTGAATCCGCCCAGGCGGTAGGCAATGACGGTGGGCACCGCGGCTACAGCCAGTTCAAGAGCCACGGTGCCGGAGGCCGCGATAGCCGCCTGGGCCCGGGCAAAAGCCCGGCGCTTTGCGGTCACGCCCCGCGTCACCTCCACGGGAACCGGCCAGGATGCGGTCGCCTCACGCACGGCTGCATCTACCGTCTCCACCGTGGGGATCACGACCCGCAAACCCGGGTGCTTGCGGGCGAGGGCCGCGACCGTCGCTTCAAACACCGGCAGCAGCTTGCGCACCTCCCCCTTGCGGCTGCCCGGCAGCACGGCCAGCAGCGGCCCCTCGCCTGACGGCGAGGGCCGGTCGGCCAAGCGAGCCTCCTCCCCGGCCGCGTCCTCGACGGCGGAATGGCCGACAAAGCGTGCGCGCAGGCCATGGGCTTCGAAAAGCGGCGGTTCAAACGGGAGAAGCGCCAGCACGGCATCGAGGTAGCGTGCCATGCGCTTGGCGCGCTTGGCCTTCCAAGCCCAGACCTGGGGGGCGACGTAGTGGACCAACGGCATCCCTGCGTCCTTCAAGCGCTGCTGGACCTCCAGGGTGAAGGACGGCGAGTCGATGGTCACGACGATGTCAGGGTGCTGCGCCCGAACCGCGGCAGCGGTCTGGCGGATACGCCTGATGATGTGAAAGACATGGGGCAGCACCTCGAGGAAACCCATGACTGCGAATTCCTGGATAGGAAAAAGGCTCCGCAGGCCTTCGCGTGTCATCTCCTCCCCGCCGATACCGGCAAAGCGCACCGCCCCGCGCCGTTCGGCTTTCAGGGCTGCCATCAGGCGTGCGCCCAGAACATCTCCCGAGGGTTCGCCGGCAATCACGAAGATCAGCGGCCCTGATTCCTGAGCGACTTCTCCCTCCACGTCCGTCGCAGTCATGCCGGCCGTTCGATTCCGATCAGGAACAGCCCTGCCCTGTCGGCGGCGCGCGCGACGGCGTCGGTGTCGACCACAAGGGTGTGTCCGGCCTCGATTGCGATCCCGCGAAGACCGGCCGCGGCGGCGCCCTCGACCGTTCTTACCCCGACCGTCGGAAGATCCGCCCGTCGCTCCTGTCCGGGTTTGCTGAGTTTGACCAGAACGCCGCCCAAACCGTTCCTCTGCAGCGGTCCGCAGCGCTCCAGCAGAGCATCGGTCCCCTCGATAGCCTCGACACCCAGAACCATGCCATCCTGGATCACCGTCGCCTGCCCAACATCAGCGGCCCCCATCGCCTGCAAGACGGCAACTCCGCGCGCGATGTCGGCCTCGGCCTGGGCATCGGGCAGAAGCCGCCCATAAGGCCCTTTGAAGGCCAGCAGATCGCCCATCAGTTCGTCGACGCCACGGACGACGAAGCCTTCCTGCTCCAGCGCCTTGACGAGCGCTCCCAGGAGGCCGTCATCGCCCAGGCTGTTGAACTTCAGCTTGGTCAGAGCCTTCAAGGTGTAGCCGTCGGGGCGCAGCTCGGACAACGAAGGGCGCTTGACGGGGCCGATCAGAACGAGTTCGGCCACGCCGGCGGTTCGCAGCGCGTCCATGGCGCGCTTGGTCTGGCCGAGCTTGACCCAGAGGTGCTCGACGCCTTCCACCGTGGACGGCTCGGTGTTGCCTTCGATGGCAACCACGAAAGTGCCGCGGCCCTGCGACCGGCAATGCTCGATAAGCCGGCGGGGAAGGTGTCCGCCGCCAGCAACAATGCCCAGCGGCCCCGTCATCAGCCTGAAACCACCATCAGTACTCTTGCGGGCGCAGGACGGGCCGGCCCGTTTCGACCCGCAGGAAGGTCAGCAGGTTGCGCACGGTGTCCAGCTCCCCGAAATCGTCCTCGATGCCATCCATGCGCTCTGTCAGCGTGCCGCCCTCCTCTCCGAAAAGCCGGTCGTAGACTTTCAGGAGCTTCTGGATCTCATCGCTGGCGATGCCCGCGCGCTTGAGCCCGATCAGGTTCAGCCCATCCAAACGGGTCGGGCGGGCCATGACGATGCCATAGGGAATGACGTCATGCTTCGTGCCGACCATCGCGCCGAGGATGGCATTGCGGCCGACGCGGACGAACTGCTGCACGCCGGTGAGCCCGCCAAGGATCACGTTGTCCTCGATCGTGACATGACCGGCCAGGGTGCAGTTGTTCGCCATGATCACGTTGTCGCCGATCTTGCAGTCGTGGGCGACGTGAGATCCCGGCATGAAGAGGCCGTGACTGCCGACACGGGTCACCATGCCGCCGCCCTCTGTGCCGATGTTCATCGTGACATGCTCACGGATGATGTTGTCGGTGCCGATCCGCAGTTCCGAAGGCTCGCCGCGGTACTTGAGGTCCTGCGGGGTTTGACCGATCGAACTGAACGGCAGGATCTGCGTGCGGGCGCCGATTGTCGTATGCCCGTCGATCACGACATGGCTGTGGAGCTTGATCTCCTCGCCAAGAACCACGTGCGGCCCGATGATGCAGTAAGGCCCGATCAGACATCCGTCACCGATCTTGGCGCCGGGTTCGACAATCGCTGTGGGGTGGATGTCCGGCATCAGTAATCCATGATCATCGCGGAGTAGCTTGCACTCGCGACCAGGGTTCCATTGACCTTCGCTTCGCCGGAGAACTTCCAGACGTTGCGGCGGTTCCGGACTCTCGTGACATGAATGTGGAGGACGTCGCCGGGAACCACAGGCTTGCGGAAGCGCGCATCGTCCACGGTCATGAAGTAGACAGGCTTGCCGTGAGCGTCCTCGCCGAGGGTGAACATCACCAGAGCGGCGGCGGTCTGGGCCATGGCCTCGACGATGAGGACACCGGGCATCACGGCCCGTTCCGGGAAATGGCCGAGGAAAAACGGTTCGTTGATCGTGACGTTCTTCACGCCGGTCGCTGACTCGTTGGGTACGATGTCTTCCACCCGGTCAATCATCAAGAACGGATAGCGGTGCGGAAGCAGCCCCATGATGTCCTGGACATCAAGGCTGGCGACACCGTTCCGTTCACTGCTCTCTTCACTCATCCTTCTTCCTACCTCTTGCCTTCAGCTGGCGATCCCATAGCGCGCACAGCCGAAAGAACTCCCGGGCCGGCCGGGCCGGGCTGCCCAACACGGTCATACCTCCAGGAATGTCACGCATGACGCCCGACTTCGCACCGATTCTGGCGCCCGCGCCGACCTTCAGATGGCCGGATACTCCCGCTTGTGCCGCAACCGCCACAAAGTCCTGCAGAACGGAGCTGCCGGCCACGCCGGACTGCGCCACAAGCACGCAGCCTTTGCCGATGCGCACGTTGTGCCCGATCTGTACAAGATTATCAATCTTTGCCCCGGCGCCGATTACGGTGTCCGGCCCGGCCCCGCGATCGATGGTCGAATTGGCGCCGATCTCGACGCCGTCTTCCACGATGACCCGCCCGAGCTGGGGCACGTCGACGAAGCCCTCTGGGTCCATGGAAAAGCCGAAGCCCCGGGTCCCGAGCCTGGCACCGGCATGAATCTGGCAGGCCCGTCCGACGACGCAGAATTCCAATGAGACGTTGGGTCCGACAACGGTCCCGTCGCCGATTTCGACGCCTTGGCCGACAACGGTGTTGGCCCCCAGACGGCAGGCGCGGCCGATCTTGGCCCCGGGGCCCACCACCACTCCCGGACCGATCTCGCTGTCCTCGCCCAGGCTGGCGCTTTCGTCGACGACAGCGCTTGGATGAACACCCGCCACCGGCATCCGGGCCGGGTAGAACGCCTGGGCGACCTTGGCATAGCCTCGATAAGGCCGCTTGGTCAGGATCAGCGCCATTCCTTTGGGCGCCCGTCCGGCAAACTCCGGGTCCAGAATGCAGGCCCCGGCCTCGCTCTGCTCGAACTGCTCGACGTAGCGCCGGTTGTCGAGAAAGCTGACATCCTGTGGGCCGGCCCGATCAAGGGGGGCCACGTCCTGGAACGTGGATTCCGGATCACTGCCGGTCTGCAGCTCTGCTTCCGCCAAAGCAGCCAGCTTCGAAAGGCTGAGAGGCCCTGCCCGTTTAAAGAATCGGCTGTCCGCCATACCACCACCCCTTTGGGTTCGCCGTCTCTGCCCGCAACGGCCTTGCCCGTCGTTGCCTAGTTGCCTGCCGTGCCCGAGGAAACATCGGTCAGGCGGCTGTTCAACCGCCGCAGCGCCTCCTCCGTCAGATCGAACTCGGACTTCACGATGATGACGGTGGTCTTCGCAAGAACCAGGTCCAGATCACGTTCGATCGCTATCTCCTGGGAGATCGACTGAAGCACCTGTTGAACCTGCGCCATGCCTTGGCTGAAGAGTTGGTCGAGGCGCCGCCGTTCGGCCTGCATCTCCCGCTGAAGCGCCACGCCCTCCGCTTCAAGGCTGCTGCGCTCCTGGCGATAATCCTCGGCAGACAAGCTGGATCTGCGCTGTGCCAGATCAAGGTCTGCCTCGCGCAGCGCCACTTCCCTGTCCTGCATGGCTTGTTGAGCTGCGACCCGTGCGGTCTCGACGCGCTGAGCCAGGGTCTTCACCGCGACCGACTCGCGAAGCACGGCCTGAACATCGATGACCCCGATGAGCGGTGCCCGCTCAACCTGCGCGTTGGCCGCAACCGGAATAATACTCAAGAAGACAAGAGCAGCGGCGAAGCGCAACGGCCAGCTGCATTGACGCGTCATGTTGCCTAAAACTGCGTTCCGAAACTGAAGCTCAGGATTTCGGTTTCGTCGAAATCCTCCTTGACCACTGCGAAGCCCAGGTCCACGACAACCGGCCCGAAGGGCGAGTTCCACGAGACACCCGTGCCGACCGTGACCCTGGGCGACGAAGAATCTTCCACATCGACATCCAGGTTGCCGTCCTCGTCCAGATCCCAGGCAGCCCCGACATCGGTAAAGAGTCGTCCGCGAACATCCAAATCGAAAGGTAGGGAGATCGGGAAAGCGACCTCTACCGTCCCTGTGTAGAAGTGCTTGGCGCCCAGCGAGTCGCCGGTACGTTCATCACGCGGCCCGATGCCGCCGAATTCGAAGCCGCGCGGATTGCCGCCGCCGCGGAAAAAGCGATCGGAGATGCGCGTGTCTTCGCCGATGCCGAAGATGGTCCCCGCAGATCCGCGCAGACTGGCCGTGTAGTCCTCGAAGATCGTGTAGTAGTAGCCGCTGTTGACCGAGGCTTTGAGGAAGCTCACGTCGCCGCCGAGGCCGGTGACCTCCGTCCTCAGGCGTCCGATCACGCCGTCACGGGGATCAAAGCGAGAGTCCCTGGTGTCGTAGATGAGTTCGTTGCTGACGCCGGAGCGCAAGGTCTCACCTTCTTCGGAGCGAACCAGCAAGGAGGCGTCGCTGCCGACGTCGGTGATGTCGCGGTTCTCGATGGTGTAACGCACCACGTTGCGGATTTCTTCGGTGAGATTGAAGCCCGCGCGGACCGACCCGCCGAGGCGTTCCTCCTCGAAGGAGCTCTCGTCGTCCCTGTCGTCGGTGGTTCGGAAGAGGTCGAAACCGGCGGCCAGATTGCGGTCGAGGAAGTAGGGCTCGGTGAAACTCAAGTCGACCTCCGAAGCTTCGCCCGCAAGGGTAAAGCTCAGCCGCAGATCCTGCCCGCGGCCAAGAAGGTTGCGCTCGCGGATGCCGATGTTGCCGATAGGCCCGTCGGCCGAGGAGAAACCGGCACCGAAGGTCAGGTCGCCGGTGGACTGTTCCTCGACCTCCACCCTGACGACGGTGCGGTCCGGCGCGCTGCCCGGTTCGTTCTCGACGGTGACCGTCTTGAAGAAGCCGAGGTTCTGGACGCGCTGGCGCGAACGGCGCAGCTTGGAACTGTTGAAGGCATCGCCTTCCACCAGCCTGAACTCCCTGCGGATGACGCGATCAAGCGTACGGACGTTGCCCTCGATGTCGATGCGTTCGACGAAGACCTTGGGTCCCTCCTGAATGTCGAACACCAGGTCGATAGTGAGGTTCTCGCGGTCGCGCTGCACACGGGGGCGAATATCGACGAAAGCAAAGCCGAGATCCCCCACCGCCTCGGTGAGGGCTTCGATGGTCTTGTCGACCTCGCTGGCGTCGTACCAGTCGCCCTCGTAGGTGGTGAGTTCACCCCGCAGCGATTCCGGGTCCAGGTTGCGCAGGGTCGTTTCGATCCCGATCGCGCCGAAGCGGTAGCGCGGCCCCTCCTCGATCGTGAAGGTGACGATGAAGTCCTGATTGTCAGGGGTCAGTTCGGCAACCACCGAGACCACCCGAAAATCGGCATAGCCTTCGTTCAGATAGAAGCGCCGCAGGAGCTCCCGATCGAAGGTCAGGCGGTCAGGGTCGTAGGTATCGGTGTTGGTAAAGAAGTTCCAGAACGACGCCTCAGAGGTGGTCACCTCGTCGCGCAGAGTGGAATCCGAAAACTCGCGATTGCCGATGAAATTGATGGAGCGAATGCTCGTGAGCGGCCCTTCGGAAATCTCAAACGCCAGGTCGACCCGGTTCTGCTCGAGCTGGATGACCTTGGGTTCGACCGTGGTGGCAAACCGTCCGGAGCGGCGGTAGATTTCCAGGATGCGGTCGGCATCGCTCTGAACCTTGGTGCGCGTGAAGACGACGCGTGGACGCAACTCGATTTCCTGCTGCAGAGTCTCATCGTCGATGCGGCGGTTGCCCTCGAAGGCAATACGATTGACGATGGGGTTCTCCGCAACGACCACGACCAGTACGTTGCCTTCCCGACGCAGGCTGACGTCGGCGAAAAGGCCGGTGGAGAACAGGTTCTTGAGGGAGCGGTCAAGGCGAACCGGATCGAAAGGATCGCCGGGATTGACCCGCATGTAGGAGCGCACGGTCGCGGCCTCGATGCGCTGTGTGCCCTCGACGCGGATCGCATCGATTCGGCCCCCGGAGAGCAATGACTGTGCCTGAAGTGGCTCTGGCAGGCTGACGCACACTGTACCGGACAGCAGGCACGCCAAGGCGACGACGAACAACCGTCCGCGAAACACGTTCCCTCGATCCTTCCCCCGTGGCTCTGGCGCTTATGCTCTAAGTGACCAGGCCCTTAACGAAACTCACCAAGCCTTCGAAGCGGAGCAGGTCGTTCCACGTCACGAAAACCATCAACGTCAATACCAGAGCCAGTCCGATCCTGAAACCGTATTCTTGGGCCCTTTCGCCCAGGGGGCGGCCCCGCAGAGCCTCGATGGCGTAGAACAGAAGATGGCCGCCATCGAGCATGGGTACCGGGAACAGGTTAATCAATCCCAAGTTAATCGAAAGGACGGCAGCGAAGAAAATCGCCTGCGGAATCCCGTGCTCGGCAACCTGACCGGACATCTGCGCGATGCGGATCGGTCCGCCCAGTTCATCGGCGCCCCGGTCGCCCCGGATGATCTGACCGAGGGCCGTAAAGGTCTGGTTGATGATCGAGACGGTTTCTCGCGTGGCCTGCCAGACCGCAGTTGCCGGGTCGTGGCGAATGAAGTCGCTGCTGCTGCGCTGAATGCCCAGCTGGCCGACCTCCTGTTCTTCGCCCAGGCCGTTTTCCCGGACCACGCGCGCCGGGATGGCGACAAGGTCGACTTCCTGGCCGTCGCGGAGCACGACCACCTCGAGCCGTTCTTCCGGCCTCAGGCCGACGATGCGCTGCAGCTCTTCGAATCGGGCAACCGACTGGCCATTGACCGAAATCACTTCGTCTCCGGGCTCGAAACCGGCGGCCTCGGCGGCAGAGTCCGGCATCACCTCGCCGACCACGGCCGGCGTGAAGGGCTGGCCGATGACGCTGAAAAGGCCAGCGAGCAGCACAATGGCAAAGAGGAAGTTCGCAATCGGCCCGGCCGCGACAATCCAGGCCCGCTGTCCCAGGCGTTTATGCGGAAAGGCAACGGCCCTCTCGGCCGCGCTCAGCTCCGAAACGCTGCCGTCGGGCATGCTGGCCGCATTGGCGTCGCCGAACATCTTCACATAGCCGCCAAGCGGGATGATGCTGAACTTCCATCGCGTTCCGGCCTTGTCCGTCCAGCCGAAGAGTTCCGGCCCAAACCCGATGGAAAAGATCTCGACCCGCACACCGTTCCAGCGGGCGACAAGGTAGTGCCCCAGCTCGTGGACGAAGACCAGCGCAGTGAGGATGACCAGGAAAGGAATGCCGAAGCCGTAAAGGCCGCCAGAAAAATCCATAACTTATAGATCGTTCCTAAATCTTTGTCTGAAAGATGCGCGGCTTCCTGGCGCTGGTCGGGCGCAGCCGGAAAAGACCTCCGCTCCGCTGTGCCAGCTGCCCTGGTGATACTCCAAAACCGCTGTCAAGAAAAGGACTTAGGCCCGCCCGCCTCGTTCTTCAAGCCGCCTTCCGGCGGTGGACCGCGCCAGGGCGTCGGCAGCCTCGACCTCCTCCAAAGACGTCAGAGGGCCGCTGGGGTGCCGTGCCAGGGTCTCCTCGACCACTGCGGCGATCTCGACGAAGCCGATCTGCCCCGCCAGAAAGGCCGCGACCGCCACCTCGTTGGCGGCGTTGAGCGTGGTCGGGGCCGTGCCGCCGGCCTTGAGGACCGAACGGGCGAGCGCCAGGGCGGGAAACCGTTCGGCGTCGGGCGCCTCGAAATCCAGGCGCGCGATGGCCGCCAGGTCCAGACGGTCCACCGGTGTCGCCATCCGTTCCGGCCAAGCCAGAGCATAGGCGATCGGGGTGCGCATATCGGGCTGACCGAGCTGGGCCAGGACCGAGCCGTCTACATAGGAGACCATGGAATGGATCACCGACTGCGGATGAACCAGGATGTCGATGCGGTCCGCCGGCATGTCGAAGAGGTAATGGGCCTCGATGAGTTCCAGGCCCTTGTTCATCATGGTCGCTGAATCGACCGAGATCTTGGCGCCCATGTCCCAGTTCGGATGCGCCACCGCCTGCTGTGGCGTAACAGCGGCCATATCCTCCCGCGACCAGGAACGAAACGGCCCGCCGGAAGCGGTCAGGATGAGACGGTCGACGGTCTCGCGGTTCTCCAGATCCAGAACCTGAAAGATCGCGTTGTGCTCGGAATCCACCGGCAGGAGCTGCGCATCGCAGCGCGCCACCTCGCCCGTCATCAGCCCCCCTGCGCAGACCAGCGTTTCCTTGTTGGCCAGCCCGATCACCCGGCCCTCGCGAACCGCCGCCAGGGTCGGCGCCAGCCCGGCCGCGCCGACAATGGCCGCCATGACCCAGTCGCAGGGTCTCGCCGCCGCCTCGGCCACCGCCGCGGCGCCGGCTGCTGCCTCAACGCCGCTGCCGCTCAGCGCCTCTTTCAGATCGGAATAGCAACTTTCGTCGGCGACCACGGCGAGGCGGGCGCCGACACGCTTGGCCTGAAGCGCCAGACGGGAGACCGAGCGGTTTGCCGTCAGAGCCTCGACCTCGAAGGCCTCGGGATTGCGCTCCACAAGGTCAAGCGTGCTGCAGCCGATAGACCCCGTCGAGCCCAGAATCGTGAGGCGCTTTGATTGGACCGCGGTCTTCAAGGAGGGGGTTGCCAGGGACATCTGCGATCTCAAACCTCCAGGGCCCAAACGAACACGAAGACGACGGGCAGGACCGCCAGCAGGCCGTCGACGCGGTCAAGGATACCACCATGACCGGGAATCAGGTGACTGGAATCCTTCACGCCGAAGTGGCGCTTGCAGAAAGACTCCAAAAGGTCACCGCCCTGGGCCACGACGGCCAGGGCGCAGCCGACGAAAAACAGCGTGCCGGCCTGTTTGTCCAGCCACAGGGCCGCCAGCGCGCTGACCAGGCCGGCCGCGAGGCTGCCGCCGATCAGCCCTGCCCAGGTCTTGTTCGGGCTGATCCGGGGCGCAAGCTTCGGCCCGCCGATTCCACGCCCGGCGAAGTAAGCGCCGATGTCGACCGCCCAAACGACGGCCAGGACCCAGAAAACCAGATCACGCCCCTGTTCCGGGAGGTGCCGCAGCCAGAGAAAGGAAAGCACGGCAAGCCCGATGTAGAAGGTTCCGCCGGCCAGCCAGAGAGCCTGATGCCAGAGAGCCTGATGGCGATGCAGAACCAGGCTCACCACGAGCACGGCCAGCGTTCCGGCCAGAAGCTCCAGCAAGGCGTGCTGCGACAGGCCGACCGCGAAGAACAGCGGCAGTGCGACCAGAACGACAATCACGAGATAACCCCCAGGCACAAGCCTGGCGCCGCTGCAGAGCCGCGCCCACTCCCAGCCCATCAGGCCCGCCGCCAGCAGCATCAGCGCGTCCAGCCAGATGCCGCCGACATAGATGCCCGCCAGCACCAGCGGGGCGAGCACGATCGCGGAGAGAATGCGGACTTTGAGCAAGCCCGCGGCCTACTGGGACTCCGCGGCGGCGCCGTAGCGGCGGTCGCGGCGGAGATATTCCTCGACGGCGGCCATCAGATCGGCCTCTTCGAAATCCGGCCAGAGCTTGTCGACAAAGACCAGTTCGCTGTAGGCCGCCTGCCAAAGCAGAAAGTTGCTGAGCCGTTGCTCGCCCGAGGTTCGGATAAGCAGGTCCGGATCCGGAATCCCTGCCGTCAGCAGACCCTCGGTAAAGAGCTCCTCATCGATCAGCGACGGATCAAGACGTCCTGCGGCCGCCTCCTCAGCCAGGCGGCGCGCGGTGGCGGCGATTTCCTGGCGGCTGCCGTAGCTGAGGGCGATGATCAGGTTCAGGCGCGCGTTGTCGCAGGTGCGTACTTCGGCATCGTCGATCAGGCGGGCGATGTCGCCCGGCAGACGGTCCCGCTCCCCGATGACGCGCAGGCGGATGCCCTGTTCATGAAGCTCCGCCAACTCGCTCTGCAGGTAGCGGCGCAGCAGGCCCATGAGGTCTTCGACCTCTGTCATCGGCCGGCGCCAGTTCTCCGACGAGAATCCGTAGAGTGTCAGATAGGGGATGCCCATCTCCACCGCGCCGGCGATACAGCGGCGCACGGCCTCGGCGCCCTGGCGGTGGCCCAGGGTTCGCGGCAGGCCGCGCGCGTTTGCCCAGCGGCCGTTTCCATCCATGATGACAGCCACGTGTTGTGGCAACGCCGGCTCGGTTGAAAGGCGAGACTCATCCATCGCAGTCAGACCTGGAGTATCTCCTCTTCCTTCTGCGCGAGGGTGTCATCGACCTTTTTTATGTGGCTGTCCGTCAGGCTCTGTATCTCGTCCGACCAGTGATGGTGCTCGTCCTTGGAGATTTCGGAGTCCTTTTCCATCTTCTTGAGCATTTCCATGCCGTCGCGGCGGACGTTGCGNNNNACCGCCACCCGGGCCTGCTCGGCATACTTTCCCGCGATCTTGGTCATCTCGACGCGCCGCTCCTCCGAAAGGGGCGGAATGGGAACCCGCACAAGCTGGCCGTCCGTCGCCGGGTTGAGGCCGAGGCCCGAATCGCGGATCGCCTTTTCCACTGCGCCGACAAGACTGCGGTCCCAGACCTGCACAGTGACCATGCGCGGCTCCGGCACCGAGATGCTGCCGACCTGGTTCATCGGCGTCGCCGAGCCGTAGGCCTCCACGGTGATCGGCTCCAGCAGGCCGGCGGATGCCCGGCCGGTCCGGAGCCCGGCGAATTCCTTGTGCAAGGCATCGATGGCGCCGTCCATCCGGCGCTTGATGCCACTTAGGTCAGGGTCTGCCACGTCTCAGTCCTCGTTTTTCACCAGTGTGTAGCGCCCGTTGCCCTCCAGCACCTCGGCGAAGGCCCCCGGCCGATAGATTGAAAAGACCAGGATCGGGATCTTGTTTTCGCGCGCCAGGGAGATGGCCGCATGGTCCATCACCCCCAGGTCGTCGGTCAGCACCGTCATGTAGTCCAGGCGCTCGTAGCGCGTGGCCTCCGGCGACTTTTCCGGGTCGGCGTCGTAGACGCCGTCGACCTTCGTCCCTTTCAGCAGGACGTCACAGCCCATCTCCGAGGCCCTCAGCGCCGCGGCGGTGTCGGTCGTGAAATAGGGATTGCCGGTGCCGGCGGCAAAGATGACCACCCGGCCCTTTTCCATATGGCGCTCGGCGCGGCGGCGGATGTAAGGCTCTGCGATGGTGTCCATGGGAATCGCCGACTGCACCCGGGTATCGACACCGATCTGCTCCAGCGCGTTCTGCAGCGCCAGGGCGTTAATGACCGTCGCCAGCATCCCCATATAGTCGGCTGAGGCTCGCTCCATCCCGGCGGCCGCGACAGAGACGCCGCGGAAGATATTGCCGCCGCCGACAACCAGGCAGACATCCACGCCCCGCGCCCTGACCTCGCCGACGTCGCGGGCGATCTGCGCCACCATGTCCCGGTCGAGACCGTACTCGCGATCGCCCATCAGGGCCTCGCCGGAGATTTTCAGAAGCACGCGCTTATAGCGCGGCGCGGGGTGCAGCTGGGTTTGCGTCTCGGACATGAGCCTCTGTGAAGCCTAGCGACGGGTACTCGTCGGCGGGAATGGAGCGGGCCGTATGGTAATGCGCCCAGGGCCTTCACGCCAGTGGCCCGAGGCCCCCGGAGGCGGGACAAATCTATAGCCGAGAAAGCCGCCGCGGACAATTGCGGGGCGCCCGTAGAACCCGGACGCACGCCGGCCCCGGACCACCCCAGGACCACCCCTGGACCGCCCCGGGCGCCCCCCCTGGGGCCACCTTGCCGGCGTCCCCCGTGGAAAACCGTGAGAATCCCCTGGCTGGCCCTCAGCCGCCGAGGGTGGCCGCAACCTCGGCAGCAAAATCGGCCTCTTCGCGCTCGACGCCCTCGCCCAGCTGGAAGCGATGGAATCCAGCGATCTTCACCGGGGCGCCCGCGTCCTTTGCCGCCGATTCGAGCACCTTGGAGACCTTGTTCTCACCGTCGATGACGAAGACCTGCTCCAGCAGGCAGACTTCTTCGTAGAACTTCCGCAGACGGCCCTCGACCATCTTCTCGATGATCTCTTCGGGTTTGCCGCTCGCACGCGCCTGCTCGCTCAGCACGCTGCGCTCGCGCTCCAGGGCGGAGGCATCGACCCCGTCGCGGTCCACGGCCAGAGGCTGGGCGGCGGCGACATGCATGGCGAGCTGACGCCCGAGGGCTTCCAGCTTGCTCGTGTCGCCTTCGGACTCCAGGCCGACAAGAACGCCGATCTTTCCGAGGCCCGGCACCGTCTGGTTGTGGATGTAGGAGCAGACAACGCCCTTGCCGACGGAAATGCCGGCACTGCGGCGCAGGCTCATATTCTCGCCGATCTTGGCGATCATGTTGGTCAGTTCGTCCGACACGGCATTGCCCGTGGCGGGATAGCTTGCCGCCTTCACCTGCTCCAGGTCGCCGCCGACGCCCAGGGCGATCTGCGCGCAGTTGCGCACGAAGTCCTGAAAGGTCTCGTTGCGGGCGACGAAGTCGGTCTCGGAATTCACCTCCACGACCGCGCCCGAGGTGCCCTCTGAGGCGACGCCGACCAGACCTTCCGCCGCCACGCGGCCCGCCTTCTTGGCGGCTGCGGCCAGCCCCTTCTTGCGCAGCCAATCGACCGCAGCCTCCAGATCGCCGTCCGTTTCGGTCAGCGCCTTCTTGCAGTCCATCATCCCCGCGCCGGAGGATTCGCGCAGCTCCTTCACGAGTGCCGCGGTAATCTGAGCCATGACTCGTTCCCTTTTTCTGGAGTCCAGTGTCGCCTGAGAGCCCGGCGGCCGGTGCCGCCGGGAACCGATCGCGTCTGTCCGGCAGCCTCAGCCGCCGGTGGAGGCCTCTTTGGCGGCCTCGGATTCGGATGCAGCCGCACCCTCTGCCGCGGGGGCTTCGGGAGTTGCCGCGGGGGCCGCGCCTTCGCCGGCTGCTTCCGCCGGAGCTTCAGCAGCGCCCTCGCCTGAGGCCTCGCCCGCCGCCGGGGCTTCGGGCAGCGTCTCGACCGGGGCTTCCTCCGACGCACCGACATCACCGCCGCTCGCCGTCAGCTCGACCTGGATACCGTCCAGCACGGCATCGGCGATGAGATCGCAGTAGAGGCTGATGGCACGCAGGGCATCGTCGTTTCCGGGCACCGGGAAGGTGACACCCTTCGGATCGGAATTGGAGTCCAGCACACCGATGACCGGGATATTGAGGTTGGTGGCTTCGTCGACCGCGATGTGTTCCTTGTTGGTGTCGATCACGAAGATGACGTCCGGCAGGCCGCCCATCTCCTTGATGCCGCCCAGCGCGCGCTCCAGCTTGTCGCGCTCGCGGGTCAGGTTCAGCAGTTCCTTCTTGGTCAGGCCGATCTGCTCCTCGCCAAGCTGGTCCTCGACCGTCCGGAGCCGCTTGATGGAATTGGAGATGGTCTTCCAGTTCGTCAGCATGCCGCCCAGCCAGCGGTGATTGACGTAGTACTGGCCACAGCGCTTCGCGGCCTCGGCCACCTTCTCGCTGGCCTGGCGCTTGGTGCCGACGAAGAGCACACGGCCGCCGCCGGCCACGATGTCGCGCACCGTCACCAGGGCCTGGTTCAGCAGCGGCAGGGTCTGCTCGAGATCGATGATGTGAACGCCGTTGCGCGCCCCGAAGATGTAGGGGGCCATGCGCGGATTCCAGCGACGGGTGGTATGTCCAAAGTGAACGCCAGCTTCCAACAGCTGACGCATCGAGGGGCTCGGAAGCGCCATAAGATCTTCTCCGGTTGGTCCACCGCGGGCCTGTCATCGGGACCTTGCCGAGGTTGCGCCAAGGCAGCGTCCTGACACCGGAGCGACGGTCGGGATGTCTCCCCGCCAGCCGCAATGCCCGCGTGTGAGATTGAAAACGTGGGCGGTTTAGCCCCCGACAGTGCAAAAATCAAGCACAAACGGGCGGATTCGGACCGTGTCCGCGCGCCCTCTCCCCCTTTGACGCTATGGCCCAGGTCCATCGGCTGCTGCAGGGACTATGTAGCGCGCCGCCACAGCCTGAGCGGCCGCCTGCATCGCCGCCTCAGCGGCTTTCGCATCGCCGTCGTTGCTGGCAAATAGGATAGACATCCTATGTTGCGGCAGAATCAGCATCAGGGCGTACCACATCGTGTTTGAGCCGTTGTGCCACAGCAGCGGCCCGCGTGCGCCCAGTTCACCCGCATCGCCCGCCACCCAGCCATAGGCATAGTCCTCGGCCTGCGGCCGATGCAGCCGCTGAAAGGTCGCCGACCGCAGCAGGGGCTCTTCCTCTCCGGGAAGCGCCAGATGCGCCTGGGCAAAGCGGGCCCAGTCCCGCAGCGACATGTGCAGCGTCCCCGCCGGCCCCAGGATCGCACTGTTGTCCGCGTTGGGACCAGGGGCGACAGCCCGTTTCGTCAGCCCCAGGATCGTCTGGTGTCCCCAGGGCTGGTCGATGCTGCCGGCCCGGCCCGGCGCGCCGAAGCCGGCAGAGGTGATGCCGAGCGGCGTGAAGACCTCGCGCTGCATCAACTCTTCCCAAGAAACCCCGGTTGCCTGTTCGGCGACCACGCCAGCCAAGGTGTAGCCCACATTGGAGTAGAGATGGCCGCTGCGCGGTGGGTGGACGGGTGTCTGCGCGAGGATCTTCAGCACCGCCTGCAACCGCTTGTCCGGGAGTTCGCCGTCAACCGGCGGACGCTCGAAGTTGGAGAAGAAGGAGAAGTTCGCCGGCAGGCCAGCCTGGTGGGTCAGGAGGTCCTCCAGCGTAACCGAACGATAGCCGCTGTGGACGCTCTCGGTGTGAGCTGGCAGCAGGTCGGATAGGGTCGTTGTCCAGTCCAGGACCCCGCGTTCGACCAGGCGGGCGATCATGGTCGCCGTCATGGCCTTCGTCACGGACCCCAGATGCCAGAGATCGTCGACGGTCACTGCGACCGGATGGCCCTTGCGCCTCAGGCCCACGGCCGCCATCTCCCGAACCTCTCCGTCCTTCAGAACCAGGCCGGCCAGGGCGACGAGGTCGTGCTGACGGCGCAGCGCCTCCAGGTCCGCCTCCAGCGACGCCGCCTCAGCCAAGGCGGCACAGCAGACAAGGGCGAAGGCCATCCAGGCGCCGGAAAACCAGGTCACAGCGCAGCGGCGCAATCAGAGTTCGTAGCCCTCGTCCTGCAGCCGCTGCTCGACCCTGCCCGGCAGGTTCTGCATCAGGGCCATGCCCCAGCGCTGGCTCAGCGGCACGGTCTCCGCCATCATCGCCGGCATCTTCTTGATCATGCTCTGGCCGGCCGGGCTCTTGTAGAACGCCAGCATGGCGTCCAGTTCTTCCTCGGTGAAGACCCGCTCGTAGATGATCGCCATCTCGTCCATCAGCAGGGGCATGGACTCCTTCAGTGCGGCCAGAATCTCGTCCTGGATGATCTCGCCGACTTCGTTGGGCAGCTCCGGGTTGGCCTGCCGCGCCATGGCGTTGATCTGGGCAAACGTCGCCTCGAACATCTGCTCCATCAAACCGTCGCCCTGAAAGACCTGGAAGACCTCCCTGGCCTTTTCGGCCTTCGTCGACTGGGCCGCGGCCGCCCCTGCACTTGCGGTCGCCGCCAGGGCGACAATGAGCACGCAGGCAAGACGCTTAAGGGACGGCATCGGCTTCTCCTTCTCGTTGTCGCGTGCCCCAGTGTACTCCTGACCGGCGACAGTTGCACGATCCCGGCGTCCTGCAACAGGGCGGACGTGAAGGCGCGCGGGCTTCAGCGGTCCTGCATGACCAGCCCGGGAATGGCCTTGATGGCCTGCCGCGTCGCCGGCGAGAGGCGGTAGCCGCCGCCAAGCGCCAGTTCGACCTCCTGTCCGTCCTCGAGAGCCAGCACCAGCTTTACCTTGCTGCGACCCCTGCCCTCGCGCTCCAAAAGCGACTTCAGACTGCCGAGCGGTGCGGGATCGTGCAGGTAAAGGTCCAGCCCCTTGGAGGCCTTGGCCGCCGCGTTGTCGAGGGGCTCCAGCGACTGTGCCGTCAGCCGCGGCTCATCCTCGCCGCGCTGCTCGACGGAGACCTTGAGCAGGAGCGGCTGACCGCCGTCCAGCAGTTCCCGGGCCTGGCTGAGGGTCTCGGAGAACAGGGTCACCTCAAAGACGCCGGCGGCATCGGTGAACTGAACGAAGGCCATGCGGCTGCCCTTGCGGCTGTTGAGCTCGCGCTTGCCGATGACGATCCCGGCCATGGTCACCAGGCCCCCGGCGCTCCCCTGCAGCACGTCGCTGCTGGTCGCCACCGCCATCTTTTCCAGCGTGGCGCCGTAGGTGTCGAGCGGATGGGCGGAAAGGTAGAAGCCGATGGCATCGAATTCGTGGTTCAGCCTTTCCATACCCGGCCAGTCCTCTACCGGCGGCAGCGGCAGGGGCGCCGGGCCCGCGTCGGCGACGGCGCCGAAGAGATTGACCTGCGCACTCTCGCGTTCATTGGCCGCGGCACTGGCGTGGCGGACGATGGTTTCGGCGGCGTGGTAGACCTGGGCCCGGTTCGGACAGAGCTGGTCGAAGGCGCCGGCACGGGCAAGGTTCTCGACCTGGCGCTTGTTGATCAGCTTCACGTCGACGCGCTGGGCGACGTCGCCCAGGCTCTTGAAGGGCCCCGCGCTCCGCCGCTCCTCGACCACCGCCTGCATGGCCGCTCCGCCGACGTTCTTCACCGCCGCCAGGGCATAGCGGATCGCCGCCGTGCCATCCTCCTGGACCTCCACCGAGAAATCGCGTTCCGAGCGGTTGATGTCGGGCGGCAGCAACGGGATACCGAGGCGCTGAAGCTCCTGCCGGAAAACGTTCAGCTTGTCGGTGTTGCCCATGTCGTAAGTCATCGAGGCGGCGATGAACTCGACCGGGTGATTGGCCTTCAGATAGGCGGTCTGATAGGCGACCAGGGCGTAGCCGGCGGAGTGGGCCTTGTTGAAGCCGTAGCCCGCGAACTTGTCGACCAGATCGAAGACGTAGGAGGCGCGGTCCTTCTTGACGCCCTTCTCCATGGCGCCCTTGACGAAGACGTCACGCTGGGCGTCCATCTCCGCCTTGATCTTCTTGC